GCGGGGGGGGGCCTGACCGAGACAGAATCACAGAATCTTCTAGGTTGGAAGGGACCTTAAAGATCATCTTGTCCAACCGTCAACCTAACTGACAAAAATAGACACCCACACAACAAACAAGGAGCATCACCATCACTAAACCATACCTCCCAGCACTACATCAACCTGTCTTTTGAACACCTCCAGGGATGGTGCCTCAACCACTTCCCTGGGCATCAGACATTCCAATGTCTGATAACCCTTTCAGTGAAAAAATTTTTCCTAATATCCAGCCTGAACCTCCCCTGGCGCAACTTGAGGCCATTTCCTCATGTCCTGTCGCCTGTGACTTGAGAAAAGAGACCGACCCCCATCTCTCTACACCCTCCTTTCAGGTAGTTGTAGAGAGCAATAAGGTCTCCCCTCAGCCTTCTCTTCTCCAGGCTGAATAACCCCAGTTCCCTCAGCCTCTCCTCATAAGACTTATTCTCCAGACCCCTCACCATCTTTGTTGCCCTTCTCTGGACCCGCTCCAGCACCTCAATGTCTTTTTTATGGTAGGGGGCCCAAAACTGGACACAATACTCAAGGTGAGGCCTCACCAGTGGCGAGTAAAGGGGGACAATCACCTCTCGGGCCCTACTCACCACACTGTTCCTGATACAGGCCAGGATGCTGTTGGCCTTCTTGGCCACCTGGGCACACTGCTGGCTCATGTTCAGCCAACAGTCGACCAACACCCCCAGGTCCTTTTCTGCCCGGCAGCTCTCCAGCCACTCTGCCCCCAGCCTGTGCCTAGACAGGCACACTAGCTCCCTGTGTGGCCCCGGGGAGGAAGGGGCAAGACAGGGGGCAGGGAGGCTTGTGCAGCACTTCTGACACAGCCCTTAACGCCTCACGTCCTCTGGATCAAGCTGAGCTCCCATGTGCTTGGTCCCCTTCTACAGTGAAGGCAGAAACATCACTAGGGAATTATTGAGGCCTGAGGATGTCACCGAATCTCAGCTTCTTTATACCCATTACATCACCACAATTCACTCCATGAGGACTGTTCCAGGGAAAACTTGTTCAGCTCCAGCCAGCTTAACACTAAGACAAAGAAGTCTCAAGTGCATTGAGTTCAATGGCCCAACTTCAGGGGTTATCTCCCAGAGGCAATCGGTTGTTGAATAATTGCTCAATGAACAAATCAAAAGACCTACATACAAACCACCAAATAATTGCAATGCCAGAGCCAACAACTACAGAGTTTCACTTTCAGTAGCTGTTCCTGTTCTTTGGCTGCACACTTCAAGCTTACAGTCAGTATTGCTAAGAGATATAGTGCTTACAACCAAGAACCAACAAGGGTTTTTAAACGTAATTTGAATTCTGATTGCCCTAAATCACAGGAGTTGTCCTGTGAGAGCAAAAAAGTTCCTTTACAAATGCTTGCAGGAGCAAGCCCTTAAATACCTGTCTAGGGGGCATGTAACACACAGATTACTTCACACAATGCTCAAAGTTATAGATTCTGCTTAATATTTTCTCACTCTTCCTAAAAAAAAAAAGTACTTTTCCTAAATACTAAATGAATGAAAACAAACAAACTAACTAAAAGCTTCAAATCTTACGTGGTAAGAAACAGAAGGCACTCTTACGCATTGCTGACCAAAAAACTGTTTGTGGAGTCCAGTTTTCATGAAGTTATAATTTCTACAATATATAGTCAGCACAAGCCACGTTCAATTTCCACTTAAATGCAATGTAACCACTTCCTACTTCGATGTTTCCAATGCATCAGCCTAGAGTCCAATCTGTCAATCTGCTGGGTTTTGACAGTGAGATGAGAAGGCTCTTTAAAAAAAGTGAAGTGCTAAAAGTTATTCAAGCAAGACAGAATTTCAGTAGCACCCTGTTGAGAACCCGCAGAAGTTGCCTGGCAGCTTTTACTGTTTAATGGCAATGATGCTATCTTCCAGGAGAGATCTTGCGGAGAAATATAGTCAGTTTGCAAAGCAATGTCATTACTCCTGAAAGTAACACGCTTCTGGCAGGCTGCCTGTGGGGATCATTATGTGAGGGGCTGGTACTACCATTTTAAAATATGATTCATGTAGGAATGCTACCTGTTGCTTCCTGCTCACAGCACGTGATATTTTAAAGTAAAGGTGCTTCTATATTTGGCATGAGGATTCCTTATCTTTTCAGACTTCAGTTCAAATCAGATCATATATATATATTTACATATATATAAATAAAAAAGAAGAAATGCCCTTCCTGTCAGCAGGATTTGTACAGACCACCCATGTTTGGCCATAATGGAAACCAACCAGGCTATTCAAAACTTCTTCATCCTGAATTGGTGGAGGTGAAGAGCCATTTATTCTTTTCATGTTCAACTGGGGCATAAAACCGTGAAAAAACACTTACGCTCCAACTGTTCAGTTTTACACCCAACCCACTCACTTTTTGTACTCTATTCAATTTCTTGGTCATTGCATTGTCCAAAGTTATCCGTTATTCAGATTGGGAAGCAAAAATGAGAGACACAAATCTTGAAAAACTGATTAGGCTAAAGGCTGCTCAAGAGACCAATCCAGTGGGAAAAAATATCTTTTCCTTCAGCCACTGCTGGTCAGACTTTAGATCTATTAGGTTCTGAGGACAACCTGGACCTTCATTATAGTGCACATGGCAAAGCACAGAAGGAAGCATGACTTAAGAGTTACTTTCCAAATAATTTCAGTCCACCCAAACACAAGAGCATCACTGACTGTATGGATGAGCTGATCTCAACTTGATGGACACCTGGGGTAACTAACTTTACCAAACTCTACATTGACAGGGGAATTCAGCAACTGCATACAGCTGAGAGCAGGCCACCTGCAAGCCTCTAAAACCTTGGCACTGAGGAGCACAGTCAGCTTGCTTTGAAGTGGTAGTGAACAATTTGTTCTCTGACAGCTGTCTCCAAGCTAATAATTTCCAAGGCTCACTTAGAGGATACATCTTAGAGAAAAATATAGGTTATCTTATCATCTAAGAGATATCATGGGTACACGCAGAGTTCTGCCCTAAATTTTGCATCTCTCATCACATTTTAGCCTTTATTTAAGGGGAGATACAGCTATGAAGCAAAGGGGCAACTTCTGCGTGGTTTTCCTTTAGGCAAATAGGCCTTTTAAATGGCTGCTTTTCACACGTAGCTCAGTGAAAAGAGCTGCACTGAATTGAGTGTAACTACAGTCAGAAATGACAACTGGGAAGTTAGAGATGTACAAAGGTGTGTAGGAATTATGCTGCTGCCAATAGGCTTCTGCACATGAATGACATTATGAGGAAAAAAAACCCCAACAACATAATTTGCACCAGTCAGGCCTTTGAATGGTGCACACCACATTTTTAAAGTCTGGTAAAATGGACATGCTGATGCAGTCAAAGGTCAGTGTGTACCTACTACAGATACAGTCTGGGGTCTCTTGAAAATAGGCAGAGGCAGGAATTACAGCCTGTAATGGGCATCTGGCCCTCAGAGCACTGCACCAATTGGTGGTGTCTCACTGCCTCATGTGTGCAAGGCTGTGTGAAGCCATCGGGACCATCGGATAACTCTATTTTTCTCTCTGGGGGGATGAAAAGAAGAGATCTGAGGACTCCAACTGAACAATTACAAAGGGATAGATCTTTACTTCCAAAGTCACCCTTTGCTAGGATCAAGCAGCCTTCCGCCTCAGTAATTTTCTACAAACCTGACTTGCAGAATATCAGAAAGCTCAGCTGAGCATGGCCACAGCCTGATGTTGCATCTTCTGAGTGTCACAGGGTCATCACAACTCAACAGCTGAACACAAACATTTCTACAAAAGCCAGAGGCTGTGTTAATTCATCGCTAGCTGCATTTGAGGTCTTTTGTCACCTGTGCCTTCTTCCTGTCTTTCTAAAGCCAAGGACCCCAGCTGCACGCTGCCTGAGCATGTCCAGCATCGGTTCTTTTTCCTATATATGATAGCTGTATAAAGTTACAATAGTTACATAAAGAATCCCAAGGTGTGCACTAAGACCTGAGTTTTAATTTGATGGGCTGGGAATATTTACACTCTTCTCACGAAGGCACCGTCGTTCAGATGACTTGGAACTACGTTATCACATTTAGGCACCCCAAGCCTAAACCTGTATTGAGAGACCGACCTTGCTAGAGTACCCAAGGATATACCAAGAAGATGGGAAAACTTGATATTATCTAGTGGTTGTGTTTCTTCATTGAGCCAGGATAAGTTCCTGGAGTCACAAAACAGAATTGGAGGTCATTAGAAGATTTATAATATTCTTAACCATATTATAGCTGAACCTCTCTCCCAGGAAACCAAAACTACTCGACCAAGATTTTCAGAAAGAACTAGGCATTTGGGCACTCAAGTTCAGATATTTGTTTTTCAAGAAGTGCTGAATTTTCTTCACCCTCATGTCTATTCCTTATTCTTTGGCCCATCCTTTCCTCCAGAGAGCCCTGTGCTTTCAGAGCCTCGTTTCTTTAAGCCTATATTTTTGGCTACAAAGTAATCAATGTATCTTTAAAAGCAAGGCCCCCCTCCTCACGGTGAAGGAGGGGGATCAAGCTGATAACGAAGCAGCTGGTAAAGCTGATACTCCCAGCTCACAGAATTGGACTGAGATAGGGCAGCTGATTTTATTAATTCACAGAAAAGAAAGTCTCTGGGGCTGAAATCCTGGCTTTGCCAAAAAGCTGGGGAAATTTTACGATTCACTGGGTCCGGTTTCCCTCACTGCATTGCTTTTTTTATTCCTCTGTGCTGTTCAATTCTTTTTCCCTACTTCTCAAGTCTCCATTCAGCTTTGAGCCTTTTTACCCAGTGGGAAAACACTTGGTAGCGAGCAGGATATGAAAGAGAGAGCTGCTATTCAGCCTGAATGCTCGCAGTCTGCTCCAGAACAAGGCTTGTTTACTCAGCCTTTCAACAGCACTCCAGGAATAAATATCCACTCATTTAACTGGCTGCTCACCCCCTCTCCCTCCTGGGGCTGGGAACAGTCTGATAAGAGGGAACGTACATTGAAATAACAAACCCAATAACTCTGTAGGAGTTGTTTAGACAGCTGAGCTCCACCAGGAAAATCTAGAGGTGGGGTAAGGGGCTGGTAAAACCCAGTGTTCCTCCAGGATGTTTGAGCACTCACATTCACACCTGCTGGTAACTACTGCTGGTTTTGTACAGTTCTTCTATGAAAACACCTCTTCTAAACAAAAAATAAACTTAAATTCCACACTAGTTGTATTTTATTCTGCCCTGGAGCACTCAGGAGAAGCTCACAGTGGTGACAAGCAGTGTCCCAATTATCCTGCAAAAGATACTTGGGTAACCAAAAGTAACCATTCACCAATTGCACAAACACAGGGAAACTTTGGGGCTCAGCAGCAGCTGACAGCTAACCAACCTCTCCGAGGATTTAAGCAGCAGCAAACAGATAAGCTCAATTTCAGAAAGTGGTACTCACCTAATTAAGTCCATCTTCATACGGTTTTAAAGCAATCAAAAACATACAGACCTCCTCAACACATAAAGCAAGGTCTCTGACACGGGTCCAGTGATTTCAGGCAAGTTACTTCAGGGATTCAGGTGTTTATTTTGGTTTAAAAGCCAGGTGTTGCCCATCTCCCCACCCTTTCCCTAGCCCTTAACAAAGCCCTACGAGTTAATTATGTTGTCAGCTAAACACCAGATTCCCACCTGTGTATGTGTTGGGTTAATTACTATGACAGCATTTCTTTTTCTCCTTTAAGGTAATTCAGCTTCATCCATTCTTTCTCGTTATCTTTCAGAGCATGCTCCTAGAGCTATCATCTATCATGAAGAAGTAATGACATTCTGAGGAGAAGAAATAAAGCAAGGGACTGAGCACAAACCACCTTCAAGAAGAGAGTTAAAATCGGATTATCTGTCGCTACGCTCCCCTCTCCCACCGCTATAATGCTAAATCCATAACACAGTTTAAGGAAGCAAACACTTGTTTTATTAACCTCCATTTTACGCCAATCCTGAGAGCACCCCACTCTGATTGCTGGTGTTAACGAGCAGCTCGCTCCACGACTCCAGGTGTTCCTTATGCAGACTGAGCTGGATGTGGTCAGTGTGTGCTCCCTTGTGTCTTTGGGAGAATATTTTTGGGATGTGCAACTTGTCGTGCGTTCTCGTAGTGTTCATATCAGAAACCAGCCTGATCCACAGACCTTCAAGGTAGCGCAAGGCCAGGGACACCTACAAGAAAGGGTTAGTTTGATTTGAAAGTAGCCTGGAAGGCTACATGGCCTCTATCTCCCCCAGGCTTCAGCAGCCAATGAATAAAAGATGGAAGAAAGAAACTGAAAGAACAGGGGATTTAACAGAGAGAAAAACCCAGCTGAAGAATATGCTGCCGCTCATCCACCCATGCTAGTTCAGTTCTCCAGCTCTGACAGAGACTGTCCATGCTCATGTAGCCTCCTTGTAGCTAATACTTTCAGCTTCAAATACGAACCTAAGTAAAACCGGGTGATTTATTTAAAGTGCAAAATATCTGTACTTTTCTGCAGTTTGCTGTTCAAGAAGATCTGCAAGATGTCACCTCAGGGTCATGAAAATCCTTCACCGTCTCATTAGTTCATACAGAGGAACTGAAGGACAAGCAGAGCCAAAAAAAAGAGCTTATTTTCAGTTTGGGAGGACAGACTTGCTCTGGAGGGCTGCGTTTCTGGGTTCTCTGCAGCCCAAGGAAGCAGTCCTTCCACTTGTGTCTCTGCAAAGTAAAGCACCTTGCTCTGACTGTCCCTGGGCCTGTTTCTGGCCATGTGTTTTGAGCTGCTTTTATTTGTCAAGCTTATCACAGCTCACACTTGCCGTCACCTCAACGGTGAGCGATGCTCGGACCAGGCTCATTCGCTACACCAGTTTCCTCAAGCATAAAAATCCTCTACCACTTGACAACTCTAAAGCAAGGCTAACAGAAAGCAGGGAAAAAGAAAAAAAAAGTCAAGCTTAAGAAGGATTACCAGAGATCACAGTGGTTTTGCTCCAGTGCACCTGATTTGCATTCATATTCTGCCTCGCTACAAACTCGCTGACAGTTTGCCTGTGCATTTGTTTAGTATTTTAAAGCAAAAAGAAAAAAAAAAAAAAGGAAATATTTAAGATGGTGGCCATTAAGTGCCAGCAACAACCCATCAGGGATGCAGAAACAGCTTTGCTGAAGTACATTCTCTACTGCCAGGGTATGTGTAAGAAGTGGTGGATGCTACATCTGACAGATTTGAGGGGGTGGGAAGCTTTCTTCATGTGTGCTCAACGGGAAGACTCATAAACCCGGGAAGCTCTGGAAAGCAACATTTTCTGTTTTTCTTCCATGAGAATTTTAAGATTGAAAAATCACAGGCAACTGTCACTGCTGCAGATGGAGGAGGATGCAGTTTGTATTCCAAAGGACGGTAGCCCAGGCACATGTTCTAGTGTCTCCTGTCTGGTGATAAAAATCCCCAGGACCTCCCTCTAGCAGCTTGTCCTCCTCCCTGATCCCCATAGCAGCATCCCAGCAAGCGTGTGGACCAGGGTCATTCCACTTCCCCCTTCCCAGGTCTCCTCCTGCCAAGCTGTTGAGCATCCAGCCCAAATGAGTGGTGGCCACCACCTGCTTGGGAATCCCAGAGACCAAATGCCCCCTGCTAGACCCCACACCCCGCTGGTGGGAAGAGCATCCAAGGTTGTTACCATTTCTTCTTCCCTTTCTGGATCTTCTGCAGTTTAAGTGATGCTAATGGTCCACAGCCCAAGTTCCTGCTTCAGAAAGGAACAATACCCTATTTGGGTTACACACAGAGATTTTCAGCTATTTTCCCTTTTCTTTCTTTCTACAGAAACCTCTTTCGATTTCTCTCAGGTTTTCTGTAAAGGGGAAACAACCCCCCAACCTCTCCCCTTGCCTCCCAACACGTACACTCACACTTTAGAAGACCAAAACAAAGGCTTAGCAGAATCGCCTGAAGTCAAGCACTAGGGGAACGGGTATAGATACAGCTTATTTGATCTTCCAAAACAACTTATTTCATCTTTGCAACGAAAATACCCTCGGCCGTTCCTGCAGCAGATCAAAGATAACTGGACCCCTGGATCAAAGACAGGGAGTGAAATTAGCAACGGGACCACATGACTGGAGGTCTCTTCATTGGTTCACAGATTCACTGGCCAGTATCAACCACATCCAACCTCCCCTCCCGAATCTCAATGACAACCCGCGTGTTAACCGGGCACTGCAACACCCATTTCAGAGTCAAGATCGAGTCGATGTACAATACATAATGATATGTCTTTATTTCATCAACAGAAATGGTGTCTAGACAAAATTCAGTTAACACTAGCAATTCAAATGAATGAAAAGGGTCGGGTGTTTTTTTTTTTTTTCATTTTTGTTTTTTGCACAATACTGTATTTACAATGAGTAAATGACGTTTTAAATTCATTAGTTCATAGCAATGCTTTCTTCCAAAAAGGTAAAAATTCTTAGTAACAGAGAGTAAGCATCAACAGCCACCTCATTTATTTATACAATAAAAATCACAAGAAACCACAGTCACCTAGAAAAAAAATAAAGACAAGCTTAAGAACTAGTACAATAAAATGATGCATTGAATTAAGTTACATTAATCGCATAGAATTTGTGTAAAAAGTATGTAGAAAAAACACCTGATGTAACCTGTTACAGTCATTGACCAGTTATGAGAGGTACAGAGGGTTATACAGGTAGATATGTGTGAAAACTGTCCATACTGTTTGACCTGGGGAGGAAGAGAAGAGGGGTTGCACCCCCTTGCATACACTGATAAAAACCCTGTTTTGAATATGGCCTCTGAAGTTTGTAAGGCATATATAAGAGGTGCACTTGTAACCAACTGGTTCTGGAACAAACTCTTGGGGCATCCCCACCCTTGAAATCAAAGGTGATGCTCGGAACTGCGAGTAAACAACCACCCATGGAATATCACCAAAGTGTTTAGTAGCATATTCCTGCCGCTCGGAGGGATCCAGATAGCTCCAGGCAGAGCACACGCAGGAGTGAGAACGGGGCTCAAACCACGGCCAAAATCCCGGGCAGAGGGTCCCACCACAACCCCCAGCCCGGAGGGTGGTGGGATCCTCCGGTCGCAGGGACGAGCCCGGCCAGCGACCGCCGTCCCCGCTGGGCTCCCTCCGGAACGGAAGGGTCGTTCGGGTTCGTAGCCTGGGACCGTCTCTGCTTCTAAGCAATCAATGAAATCAAACACTGCCAGTTGCCATTTCTATTTTAGGATGCTAGTTTCTTTCTGCATGCCCTTAATTAGCCAAAAGGGACAACAGTGGCACCGCACGAACCGTGCAGTGACTTTTTCACCTACGGAAACGGGCTCTGCCCACAGCCACTAAAATCTGTACAAGAACAGGAGTCATCTCACCGGCTTTTTAGCAGTCGTTTGGTTGGGTAATGACCTTATAAAAAGGTATTTTCAGCATTCCTTCCTGCCAAAAAGCAAATTTATTTGCAAAAATGGCGACGTTATCCGTGTAATACCTTAAAATGCATACCAATATTTGACTTTGATATAAATAATACCTATCTTGGTGGAGTGTAGGAAAATACTGTACACTTAAGTCTTTGCAAGTAATGCCATTCAAATTTTGAGAGTAAAGGGAATAATTATTCTACAGACCACCACCACCACCAGATCTTTTAAATATACACACCGTATTTGAACATATGCATATACACATATATTGTATTCTACAGCATCAGTTCTGATGCTTGAGTCATGAAATACTCCAAGGAGTATTATAAATATACATATATGTATTATAAACAGGAAAATACACAAACACACACTCGGACTAGAATTATAGATGTATGTATACATACATACATGTATTATATATACGGGTATAAAATTAACTTGGACTGTGTTGGCAGAGACAAAACTGAAACGAAGTCAAAATCTGTTGAGAAAATTTCTAGCAGGAAAAGAGAGCAGAAGTTCTTTATGTTAATGGTTTGAGTTGCACCTCACTTCCGATAAAAATAAACCGCTCCACATTTAGCAGATCCCTTTCCTTATGCAAGGCCATCAGCTCCACTGCTCCTACTGAGCTCAACCTTCTCTAGGCAACCCTAAAATAGAGACTTTTAAAACGCTGCGACCAACCACAGGCTACAACATTCACCCGGAGGCATCTCCCAACGCATCTCAGATCAGGGGAAAAAAAAAATAAAAGAAAGAAAAAAGATGAAAGCGGCGCTCCCCGTTGCGATGGTAGAGGAGGTGAAGAGGAGCAAAAAAACCACCACGAGCTTGTGGAAACCTGGCACAACTCGCTACGGGTCCTCTGTTCTGCAAACCCACCCCTCTCCTCCTCTCAGCCACCACGGCAGGGAATTACAAGTGAGGACATGGTGCCCGGTCTAGAACTGCAACGCTTCACCCAGCTTCCTCCTACCGGATCCCATTTCATTTCGTTACAGGATTATAGTGATTCCAGCATGCAGATTTCATTTATTTATTTATTTATTTATTTACTAGGCAATCATAATGTTACATATTAAAAAAAATCTAACTCTATACCTAGGCATTTTAACTTCTATTTAAGCGCTCTTTAGAATGCAGACTTGATGAAGTGTTGGGACTCCAGATTAACGACCACATTAAGAATTTCTCTGGCAGCAGTTAATCCATTTTAGCAAAGTTACGTATCTAGTTCCCACTCTCCTTTTTAAAGAGAAGTAGCAGTTAGCATACTAATCACTGTGGCTTGCCTTTGCAGCACATTTTACTTCCTTGGGAAAAAAAAAAAAAAAATAATACAAGGATTAGATCCAAAAATATAGTGCATCTTAAAAGCAGCATATACCCTTAGAAAGACATTTAATAAATTACTTGTACAATATATAAAATAATAGTTTTATACTGCAGCATCAAACTCTGACGCCTGAGTCATCACATGTTAGGAAGTCTGTGATATAAATACTGGGATCTCCTGATAACACAGCCAACATTTTTGCTTTTGTTTTGTTTTCTCTCTCTTTTTTTATTATTTTTTTCCTTTTTTTTTTTTTCAAACTACCTTTTTTGTTCCAGAATCAGCTTGCAATGAGCTTTAATTGTGTTCAAGGCACCCCCAGAGAACGCAGAGAAACAAACACACTCTATAGTGTAGTACTCACCTGACAAAAGCATAACAAGCCAAAATGAAATGAGGTTTCCTGGCGATACAAGTAGAGCAATGACAAAAGGAAAAGGGAGGACTAGGAACAGACTGGACAGAGCTTTGAGGACCCACACGCCCAGGAGAGTGGGGCAGTGCCCAGCGAGGAGATGGGGGTCTCCCCACACCACCCCCAAGCAGCGACCGACAGGACCGATGCTGCACGTATCATCTTTGACAGAAGCAAAGAGATTTCACCGAATTTTTTTTTTTAGAGTTGGAAGGGACCATAGAGATCATCTAGTCCAACTCATCTAGTCCAACATCTAGTCCAATTCTTACTTAAGTTCATGGTGACCACAGACCAAAAAATTCATAAATACTGTAGTTGGTTGGTTGTTTTTTTGTTGGTTTTTTTTTTTTTCAATTTCCAATGGTATTCTTGTGGCCAGTTGTTTTGACCTCAGGAGACAAGACCGGTTGGGTATGTCAACTGGTGTCCAGCTCTGAACCTAATTCTCCCAATGTCTTCCTTTAACGTTAGCCCAGTCACCGCTTTGAGAGCCGCGCGGTTCGGAACAGCAAAATAAAAACAACCTCACAACAAAATAGAAACAAAAAACAACCACCACCACCAAAAAAAAAAAAAAAAACCAAACCCCACTGAAAAACCATGATACATGTAAATATAGGAAGCAATGACACAAAATCAGCCACTTCTAATGGGAAAGAATGAAATCAAACATCCAGAAGAGCTCACGTGGGGAGGGAAAGTGAGAGAGACGAGAGAAAGGTTGAGGAAGAGACACTTATTTGAGCAGTGGTTTTAAATATCAGTTCCCAAGGTAGAGGAAATCGAGAGACCCAGCACCAGTATGAAGCCAGGTCAAACCTAAGAGCTGCAGCGCAATGGGTTGTGTGGGTGGGTTTTTTTTTAAACCGTTGGAATGAGGTCAAGAGTACCAGTTGCACATGAGTTGTTAGTAGAGTAACTCTTCATGTCAGGAAGCAAGTTAAAACTTGGTTTTATACTCATAAAACATTCTATCTATTCATATATATAGGAGGTCACTTAAAAATAAAAAAGGCAACAGAAAAACATCTTTAAAATACTGTGTCAGTTGACCCTTCCC